AACACCACTGGTGGCATCTGTAGGTGGTCTGCAACCCCTGCTGGCCGCTGCCGACACTGCCGGTGGTGGCTGCAGGTGGTCACCAACCCTTGGTTGGTGCTCACCATCCACCCCGCTGCCGATAATGCTGGCAGTGTCTGCTCTTGCTGTTCCTGCCGCCACTGTACTCTGGCCACCGCCGTGCCCCCCCAGCTGCCAGGGGCACGAGTCGCTCATGCTGACGTCCTCCCTGCATGCCTAAGCAATCCTTTTATACTCTTCCTTAGTTATTTGTCTAAGTGTCCACTTTTTATAAGCTTCCTTTTTGTGATTTAGTTTACTAGAGAGGTCCCTGCTAAGTCAAGGTGGTCTTCTGCCATACTTGCTAGTCTTCCTGCACACCGGGATGGTTTGTTCCTGCACTCTCAGTAAGACTTCTTTAAATACATCCAGTGTTTCTGGACTCCTCTGCCCCTCAGACTGGATTCCCAGGGGATCCTCCCTATGAGTTCCCTGAGTAAGTCAAAGTCTGCTTTTATGAAGTCCAGGATCCTTACTCTGCTGCTCTCCATCCTTCTTTTCCTCAGGATCTTGAACTCAATCATCTTGTGGTCACTGCTGCCCAAGTTGCCATCCACTATTACATACCCCACCAATTCATCCCTGTTCGTGAGCAGCAAATCAAGAGCATGGCCCCTAGTTGGCCGCTCCAGCACTTGCACCAGGAAGTTGTCCCCAACACTTTCCAAAACCTTCCTGGATTGCCTGTGCCCTGCTGCATTATTCGCTCAGCAGATGTCAGGTTGATTGAAGTCCACCATGAGAACCAGGGCTTGTGATTGGGAAACTTCCTTACAATACCACCTTCTGCAGCACCTTTCATGATAAAGAACTCAACAGATTTGCTAATCCCTGCAAAGTCTTTTGTAGATGGAAAAAGTGAATCACAGAGTAGCTATGTGTCTTGCCCAAGAACAAGCAAGAATTCAACTGCAGTCAGAAACAACCCTCAGGATTTTTGCTTTCCAGAGCTAACAACTAACAAAATATAAAAAGCCTTTGAAGTAGGGAGCAATATAGAAACCCTAGCTGGGGACAGAGGCAGGTAAAAAGGAACAAAGCATGATAGAGCTAGGATTTTGTGGATTCTCGTAAATTGTAGGTTTTCTCTCTTTTTTGTCACTTCAGTTATTTAACTATAATATCCAATGTACAGAAATATTAGTGTAACATAAATATTCAAAACAGTCATCTGAACACTTTCCTTCTAACATTCCCATTAATAGGATGTCTTCCAGAGAAACATGATAAAATATGGGAATATAAATACATGCAATAAAACTGATTAGTCTATCAGTAATGTGTGCCCTTTCTTTCTGTTCATTTCTTCTGTTCTTTTTGCTTCTGCCCTTTCTTTCTCCTCTTATTCTCTAACCCTTTTTCTCTACCCTTTTCTCTCTCTTTGCTCCTTTTCTCTAATAAGGGACCATCCTCTCCCCTATTCTCTTCACAAGCTCCTGTCAGATCAGCCTCTGATACATCAATCACTCCACTGCTACTCCACAAGCTGTCTCATCCCACTGCTTCACTATTCAATTCCATCTTCTGTACTGGCTCATCCCCACCAATGTCCCACTCTATGCCTCATTTTTACACTGTTTACCTCAGGGTAACTTATGACTGTAACCAGCCTGAGGTTAAAACACAAGGGGGACAAGACACTTTCATCTGACTACAGGGTAAACTAAGCAAGGTCAACACCAGACCTGGCTGACTTTGATCTCCCCTGGTTCCATTTATTGTAGAACCGGAGAGATTTGCCCTTACTGTGGTTTATCCTCAGCATGTTCCTCACCCCAAGCAACAAATCACCTTTTTAGTAGTAAAGTCTTAAACCCTCCAAACTATATTTTCTCTCCTTCATCTAATTCAAGGGAATCCATGTCTCTTTTGCTTTACTACTTAGAGTCAGTTTTCCATTGTTCCTCCTCTCACCCTCTCTACCTGCTGAGCTTCCCTTTTCAAGTCCCTCACCTGGGGCCTGCTGCTGCTGTGTGGACTCCTGTGCTCCCAGTGTTTTCTCTTCAGCCACCAGCCTGCTTAGGGCTGCCAGTGTCCTTGAGAGTATGTACATGTTCAGAAAGTCCCCTGATCTGCTGCTTTCCTTGTGCCAATAGCCTGCAGCTGAGCTAGTTCCTGTACTTTGCTCTCCTCCCTTGGAACACTGGGAGCACAACAGAGACACCCTGGGTGCAGGCTACCAGCTGGCAGTATTGCAGCAATGCTAGCTCCATCTCTTCCAAATAGGCCCAAGAAATCAAGGACCTAGTCAGGAGCTTCATGGGGCTGCCACACTGGTCATTTATCTGGGATTAGGAAACACCCAGTCATGAAAAATGAGGTTGAAGATTGTGACAGAAGCCACTGAATGCTGATACCTGTCATGTAACAGGAGGTAATGGTACTTGTAATCCTAAATAGCCACATCCCACAAAAATTACTTCTACACCTTAGTTCAAATGCTTTGATTCAATTAATTTTGTATATTGGCTTCTATTCCACCCAGGAGACTTCACAAAACACAAGCAAACTCTCCCTATGCCTCAATAAGAGTGTTTGTGCCTGCAAGCTTGTAAAGAACATTTTTTTCCAACTATTTAGTTAGTCTAACCAAAAATATCACATTTACCCAGCGAACCTTTTGTGCCTTGATTCAATTAAAGAGCCAGTACTGTACACATAGATACCCTGCTGATTTCCACATGCTCTCAACCATCTTGCTACTCACCTCATCCAGCACTTGAAGATCACTGCTGAGCTGCTCTGCAAATGCTGCAGCATGGTTCACAATTGGCTCATACTCTTCCATCAGTTTTAGCATGTCAGCTGTTTCCTTTGGTGTCATCTCTTGGTACGCACAGTCCTCTTCCTGGTTCTCTGCTTCTGCACTTGCCTTTGCATTCTCTTGGGGACCTTGTTTTCCTGCATGCACACGGGAGATATATGAAAAACTGTTTTCATTATTTCTTTGTATTAGCCTTTCCCTTCTGGGAAGTCACACCAAATCTAGTTTGGGTCACAGGGGCAGTGAATATAATTGTCTCAGTTTAGTGCCCATTTTATGTTTAACTCCAGCACAAGAAAATCATGGAAGGTGTCATAGCTGCCAGGCACTGGGGAAATAAAGTTTAAGCCTGGGATAGTGCTGCAGTGCTGCAGATCAAAACAGAAGCACATGTGCACAGGAAGTCTAAACTGAATGTGCCCTTGCCTGCGGCCACCTCTGGGGAAGCGTCTACATGTTGCTGTATGGCGACGTTGCTACAGCATCATGCTTTAGTACTTCCTTTTAGAAGTACTAAAGCACAGCGCAGGTGGTTACTGCACTGTGTGCGCAATGGACAGTTAGATTTTGCCGCTATGTCACTGTAGCATGCCGTATGGCGATGTAGCATGCTGTATAGCGATGTAGCGCATCGCTGTGTCTCAATAGGATGAGCCCAATGTGGAGCTATCTGCAGGGCATTTGTGGGAATCTCAGAGATGGGCACCCCCTAATACAGTCAAATATGATGACAGACATGTCCAATATAAACCCCCCACCTCACCAAAATATCTTGACAGGCAGAGAGACTGGAAACATTCTCCCAATTTGTAGCTGGTCTTTTTCTGAGCTGATACATACCAACCCATAAGATTACAGACAGAACCATTAGAAGCAAGATAAACTCCCCATTTTTTATCCCAGCCCAGTGCTGTCTCTATGTGGCAAGAGTCAAGGAAATATATCAGCCTGCTCTATAAATTCTTCCTTAAGCCTGAAGTCCCTGGATGAGTGATTCCTATTCTTTTTTGTCTCTCTCTCTCTCGCATTTCAGACTGGCCACTCAGGCTTGCGCTTCGTCCTCTACTCTTTACCCTACTCAGAAATCTGTCCCCTTGTGTGAAAAACGAAGCTGTCACTTCGAGTAATGTGGCAGGCTTGTCGCTTTTGCGTGGCAAGCCAGACTTGGAGAAGCACGCTTCGGATTGGTGGAACACTTCCACCAATCAGGTAACAGCTGGGAGGGGCCTGCCCTGCCCCTGCTCTGAGAGGGGTGGGGTGCAAAGAGCCCCTGGACCTGTTTGAAGACTGTGCTTTGCAGGTCTGGTGGACTTCAGGGTGAGGCCTCCAGTGTAAATAAAAGCCCAGCATGCTTGGCGTGCTGGGCAGATGCAGCAATGGACAGCAACGAGAGAGGAGCTCTGGAGAAGACCGTCATCGGGACCCTGCCTGAGCCTCAACAGTGCATGGATCAGCAAATGAGAGTCAGCCTTGGGAGCAGCTCGAGACTGCTCAAGCCCCA